CTGCATCCGGTGTGCGGGCTTTTTTGTTTTTGCCTTTCCCGGGAACTGGACGACGTGCCTTGTTTCGGGCAAAGATCTTCGGCGTTGCAGAGAGAGAGAGAGAGAAACATCAGCACGCGATTTCTTCAAAGTGAGACTAGTGATTTTTCTGCGAACGAGAGACCACTTTACCCGTTCCGTCCAACATCGAGATCTTGAGAGTTTATTACATTATTATGGACAATGGATGGGAGAAAATGGGGCCACGTTCGTAGTGCCGCACTCACCGCAAACTATTTGAAGGCGTTGGCCAAAACTCAATTGCGGCGGGTACGATGGAAACCACACCATTTCAAGAGCCTTTTCGTTCCGACGGCAGCGATTCCTACTTTGTCATGTATTACTCTTTGGGCGCAAAGTTGGAGATCTGCGTTCCACAAACACGTGAGGTTTGAACGGTTCCAAGATTGCCGAGTGATCAAAGTTCAACACAAAAAGCTGCAAACGAACCGTCGGGCCGTGATAGCCTCACTGTAACACAATCTGTTAGTAAGTCTCCTTCGCTAGGCGTTCCAAGCAGTGAGGGGTTCAAACACGCTTGCTGGACTGTGGTGCCTATGAGAGTCGAATATGCGTTTGTGCCGCTCCCCGTGTTCGAACGTCGACTGCCTCGCCCCCGTCGTACCTGAAGCCTTTCTCTGCATCCTAACCCCCCGAGCGGAAACCCTATGCACTGCCCCATCTGACAGCCGCCGTCTGATGTCTTTGCCAGCGCCATGAGGTCAATAATCCGAGCCGTCTCCGAGTCCAGTGTCAGCCATTCCCGCGCGATTGGCCCCCCACCCTCCTCAGGCGTGACCAATGGGAAGCCACAAAGACTGGCATCCCGAGGGAATGGCATTGACTGAAGCCGGGCCGGTAATGAGAAGCTGAAAACGCCGCCTTGACGATCATACTATCGTGGCGTGTGTGGCTGGGATAGTTGTACGTTATGTGTGGACAAGGCGGTGGCTTGACACAGAGCTACACACTTTGATATTGGGACCACGACAGTTGTTCATCTGCCACAACGCCCCTCCCACACCACTGCCACCGTTCCCAATGTTGTGCTGAAGACGGCATATTGGTAAAGAAAAAAAAGGCCCGTGTTGGCGAGCATCTAACCTGTTGCAACATAGCCTCATGATGAGGAGGAGCCCCCGCCGGCCCGCTCGCTGTCCACGTCGCCTGCCGTCGTCAATAGTCTCGCATCCGTGCCCCCGAGCTAAGACGAATCGTGGATCACGGGAAAGGGCCCATCACCTGGGAAAATAACCCGACACGCTCAACAGGGTTCCTTCTTTCGTTTCTAAGTCATAGCCGGCGTGATACCACTAAGCGAAGAACGGCGCACGGTGCCGCCACTCCCTCTCATAGTCTTTACTAAGCCCCTGCCCATTGCACTAGACCAGGTTGCGCTCTTGTAGTGGGGTGGGGGGGAAAAGAAGGCGACGCCTCTTCTTTCTGGCACCTTGGGTGTACGAGGTATTGGAGGAAAGGAGGGACCGGGAGCGGTCGTTCTCTTGGCGGGCGTCAACTGATCCAAGCGCTTCGGCGCCGGCGGGGTTGCTGCGAGCGGGCCCCCCCGTCGAGAGACGGGCGTCTACCTTTCTCCACTCCCGGTTACCCACTCCGTGCGGCCGGAGAGGCGGAGCCACACCCAAATGGTTGGGATTGGTTTGGTGATGTGGCTCATGGGTAAGCAAAGCCGTTTGCGGTTGCACACCAGTCGGAAAAGGTGTGAAGGCCACAGCGGTCTGGGCCCTTCATAGGCACACGAGACAGAAAGCGCTCTCTCTCTGTCGCTACTACGAAGGGGGGAACGCTAGCTTTGGTTCCGTGTGTATGTGTGTGTGTGTGTGTGTGTCACTGGCGGCGGCGCCAAGAAATGAGTGCTTTGGCATCGGGCGTCATCAAGATGGGTTCGGGGACCGGGACGGGGGTTTGTCAAGGGGAAGCACGGGGCATGTACGGGAACAACGGGGGATGAGCCTGGATGGGATTTCTATGCCTTCGAAGTGGCCTAGGTTATGAGTCGTATTTCGCTCTCGCGTGTGTAAGCTGTTGCTAGATGGCACCATAGTAGGACCGTGTGTTGCTTAAAGATTGACCAAGTTTGCTTTGTCAGTGCCGTCTGGTGATTTTGCGAGGCGGACAACGTCGTTTCTGGCACACTCATCTCATGATGATGCGACAGTTGGCCGGAGCAAGTGTCCGGAACCGCAAGGTGAGCAGTGCACTTACACACGGCTTCCTAGCTCTCTCCCTCCCTCTCTCTCTTCACGGGAAGATGGCAAAGCTTGGGATGGACGTGGATGGACCTTGGAGTGTTTGACCAGTCTCATGAACTAATGGAGAGGATGACGATTTCTCGTTCCCATCCGCTTGGATGTGGCTTGAGGACCCCTATGCCCTGCCAATATGTCGCACGGCTGTGAAGGAGGGAGGCTTTGCACGGACGGGGGGCAAAGGGGGGAGGGGGAAGGATTCACAAACCATATGACGCCAGAGGCTGCAGAGGCCCACGAGTCTGAGAGCCTCAACTGAGTCACAAATTTTGAGTCACAAGCAACAGTATTTCCACACAATGACCGGAGAAACACACCGTTAGTAACAGCGGCATCCTACGGCGCACGGCATCAGACAAGACAGGTTCGTCATCTGCCACCGAGGGGCCGTGATTGACTTCCAGGAACCATCACGGTCGACGTTAACTTCCCAATGGGCGTATCGTGAGCTTTGGCAGGGTCCCCTAATTTTTTTTTATTTTTCGCCCGCAGGTCAAGGAGAGAGTTTGGGCCACTATGACTCGTCTCGTCATGGTGCCCTTTCCGGCTCGCTAGGACCACGCCGTGACGGCGTGGTCATATCCGACTGTGTGTGTCACGGAGTGAAGGTATCCAAACTCTGTTACTTGTTCGGGGGTTGGCTGGGTTGGCTGGAGGGTGGTTAGACGGGATCAGAGATGGATTGAGTTGTAGATGGTGGCAGGCTTTCCTTTGCTTTGCAGGCACGCGTTCGTCGCGGAAGGCGCCGAAGTCGCGTGTTTGCAGATTTGGACGAGGGGGGGAGAGAGAGAGGGTGGTGGAGTTTGGCTTGGCGCGGTTTAAGCGCAAGCAAACGAAGGTTACACTTTTTGATGAAAGGCCTGTCGATTGTATGTGATTGTTTATCCTTTTGCCACGATCCCTTGACGATGGTTCGCATCCGTTGAGAGCTTTGGCTTCCACGCCGAGCGAAACGCGTGATAGATTCTACCGCTAGCGGCGTCCAGAGTGGTAGCCGGAGAACACGCCATGGGCCGACGGTTTGCGGGGAGGGGGGGAGCATCGCGATGGGGGGCCACGATGGCTCGGCGATGGGAGTTAGTTGTTTACTGTACGGAACTGACTCGTCGCTCGGCGCCGGTTCGTGAGATCTCTCCAGGTTCCTGATCGCGGCGGTCCAAAGGGGCGTTGCGAAGCTTCGCAACACCCGCTTTAACCGTTTGCAGGGGAAGAGGCTGCACTTGGAAAGCCTGCACTTGGAAGGCCTGCGGGCGTCTTTGTCAGCGTGGCAGCGAGCGCACTTTCTGAAAGTTTGGCTTTCTGGTTTGGGTGTAGGGTAGCCTGGGTAGGGAAGATTGGCAGATTCAAACATCGTTTCCGGAAATCCGTGAAAAGGGAACAATGCTATCTATGGTGGTGGGCTACCTGGATCTCCTCCATCACATCAACTCCACCCCATCCAGGTTTATGGCCGGACGGCGACGGTAAGCTTTTTAGTGGGATACTGGGGCTGTCCATACCGATAATCAAAGGTTTGCGGCTTTGTGGCCGGCGGCTTTACTCCGTGCTCGTCGGCACGATGGCCGGCGTTCGGTCGGGAGTTTCGTGTGAAACGTGACCTTTCGAGGACAGGGATTCTCGTTTCTCTCCAATTCTCTATAGAAGTTTCTTCGAGTTTGGGGTCATCGTCGAGGTACGACTTCAGACGATGGCCAGGGTCGGCTGTCCTCGTGATGGCATACGGCGACTTCAGTTCATGAGTCCAAATTAGGAGAATCGGGGGAGAGAGAAACAGAAAATTGGGGACTCCGCGCGATAAAGTTGAGTTTCTTCCCACATTTGAGATAGTTTCCGTGGTGTTGAGACATTGACAGCTCGTCGGAGGGGCCTTTTTTTCCTTCTTGCATATTATGCGCTTCTTCTAGAACAGGGTCCGGTATCAAGACCCGGCGAGGTCAAGGATGGACATTTTTCGAGTTGTGAGGAAAGAAGCTCATAAGTTGAGTCGAAACATCTCGTCATCAGGTGTCTCTTACAACGACATATCAATCCAGAGATATGTAGGGCTTGCTTGCTTGCTTGTGAGTGTTTGTCGGGTGGTTCGGTGTTTCTGCGACGCACGGGAACCACAGCTGATACTCGTGTGCGACTCCTTCCGGAGACCATGAGATGAATCTCATACCCGTCTCATTGTATTCTTAATTCTTCAATTCTTAAGACGAGGATGAACTCGATGTCTGGACGAAGTAGACCAGACGGATAAAAAAAGGCTGGTCTTGTCGTTCTTTACATACTTTGTCATCGTTCGATGTCTCCCTCGCGGACCTCGGAACTGTCAGAAGAGACCAAAAATGGGGTTGTGATGTTGGGATTCTCGACCTTTGTAGGGCTGGCACGCATTGATGCCATCTTTCAGCCAACATGAAACCATTCTCATGACGATTTCGGAACCATGAGCTTAAATCAATCAAGCATTTCCTTCTGTAAACGAAAAAAGGGGGACATAGGCAAAATAATATGGGAAAGTTAACCATTTGCATCCTGGCAAGATGCAGCAATGTCTGCGAAAAGGGCGGCCTGTTCAGTTCCTCCGCCGGCCCCTTTTCTCCTCAAACCTGTCCCGGCTCCGGGCCATCTGCAGTTGTCTGCATCCACCGTGCGCGACCACACAACCTTATTATTCCATCCACATCGTCTCTTCAAAAAAATCTGGCATCATGCCCTTGATGAGGCTGTTGCCAAGCCACTTGGCTTGGTCGGACCCCCAGGAACCGGGGACTGGGTGACAATGGGTCCACCCGGGACCGGCTTGTCCGGCACGAGGGGCCCGCCGGGGGTGGGTTTGTCTGGAATGATGGGACCGACGATGTCATCCTCGTTGCAGGCTTTGAGCGCGGCGATGATGGCCGGCTCGAGGTTCCAGATTTCAAAGGACGGGGTGTTGCCGGAGATGAGGAGGACGCTGGTGAGAGTCGCGCGGAGGCCAATTACATCGGACGCGTTGCAGGAGCCAACCTCAAAAATTTGGCGCTTCTCGGTCGTGGATGGGTTGAATATGGTGGTTGCGTCGCCTGGGATGATGGTGGCTACTTTGACTCCCTTGCTCGCGAGAATGTCGGCCAGGTGTAGGAGGACCATGTAAGTTCCGAACGCGGGTTTGGGCACCCGGGTGAAGGATTCGAGGAGTGTGAGGTATGTTTCTTTGAGGGCATTGAGATCTTCCGTGCGCTCAGCCAGAACTTGGATAGGAGAGTCTAGATCTTTCTCAAGTTACCATGCTGCTTGGCAGATACTGGTCGAGGTCGTGGTACGTACCAACTGTAGATGGCTGTTGCTCAAAGGATATCTCATCAATCTGTGTAGGAAATCAGTGAAATTATTGCTGGCATCACGGTTAAATGGAACCAGACGGGATCAAAGGCCGAGACCAACAGAGAAAATATCCTTACATCGCGCTTCCCAGCCTTCACTCCAGGGCCGTTAACAGGAGGGAGTTGGATAGGGCCAACCGGGTTCGGTGAAGGATTCCCTCCACCAGGAAAAAGAATGGTAGAGCAATCTCCTATTGAGAATCGAGGCGCGGCGTCGCTCAAGGCTACGAGACCGAGCAAAAACGTAGTGTAGGCCAGCATGGCAGGCGTTGGCGCTTTTGCTTAGGCAGTCTTCATCATGATGTTATGACAAGTACTCTGCTATAAGCAGCAAGAAGGAGAGAACGGGATTTGATAGGCGAAATATATCCATGGAGGGAAGCGTAGCGTAAATATTGACTTCCCAAGTTCCACGGCAGCGTTGAGGAAGATTCGTCTATGGCTAAGCTGAAGAAGCTAAAGTGCTTCTTAAATGGATAAATTAATCAAGGTGGTTAATGAGAAAAGTTGAAAGTGGTTAGATGATTGCGATATTCACGACTAGGTACCCAAGCGGAGCGAATAGAGCCGAAGCTGCAACGAGTGTGCTTTATGCATGTGCAACATGAGTGGACCGGATTTTGCTGCTGGATTTTGAATCATATTAGCCAGAAACCCGAAATTGTCAACCCATGGGAAAGCTGCATTTTCTAGTTACGGCTGATTTATCTTGTAGCGAGAGAATTTCATTTGGGACGGCGGAGACATGTCTCCGCGAGCAATTGCACGATGTCAATTTGCAAGGAGAATGAGACAAAGTCAAAAGATATTTGGATGAATACATGGTAAGCATATTCAGAGCATTCCCTCTGCGGTTGGAAAACGCTGTTCAATCTGGCCCACGATACCGGCTAATTCGTTACCTGCTCTTGAACTGGATCAGCATCATGAACTTGTACGAGGGCAGAAAATATATGCAGAAAGAAAGGAAGCTGATCAAACGATTCCCATCCTCTCAGGCCATCGATTCTATACGTTCCCCGTTCTTGCGCTTGTGGAAGTATTAGAGATTTGATACTGCAAACTAGAGGCTCATTTTGGGTGTACGAGGAGCCCTGTACGCCGTCGATAGAGTCGAGAAGCTACCAAGCTACTTCAACACCAGCATGAAGCTTACGCAGAGCTTTAGAGCCTTAGCTACCCTTTTGAGTCTAGTTTCGAAGAAGGATAGGTCACATCTATCTATGCAAGGTGCATACGGCCAAGTTCACGTCACTGGTGTACTGGTTTAGAAATATGGCCTTGAGTAAATGTGACGCCTTCAGCATACGTACGCATGCTTTGGCTCCTCCCGGCGTATAAGGGAAATGATATGAGGTCAAGAATGATATGAACTACCGTAGAGGCTAACCCAGATCACATACCGGTGCCACCTGCGACAACTCCAACCTAGCCATCCATAGGCTCGATGTTTTATTCCATCTTGAACAAAAGCGACGACAACTTAAAGAAAAGAACCCATTGGACCAATTCCTGGCGGAGCATCGCCTCCCAAGATGGCGTCAATAGCGTTGAGATCGCCAGGATCGAAGAACTCGAAAACATCAAAACCTGCAGGCCCTTCAAGGAGTGAGGGGTCAAAGACGGGCATCGGTTCACCGTTGGGCGGATTGGTCCCGTCTTCGATAGTACTGCTGCCCACATCAGGTGCGACATGTGGTGCTGCTTCATTCTGTCGAGGACTATTCGGCGCGTTTCCCGAGCCAGTCCCATTCTGCTCATTCAAGGCGTTGGTGCAGACTTGGTCTATCTCTTGAATTACTTGTTCTGCCAGATCAACCATGACTTGTGCGGACCTGAACATGCTGCTCATCCCCCGGAGTATCTTGCATGTTGACTGGAGCTGCCGCCGAGACCTTGCTGTCAACATTGGCACCTTGTGAGATCGGAGCTCTCGATACGCAACCCGCAGGGAAAGGGAGACGGCGTATGGTACAAACGTCATGTGCGACAGAGAGTTGCCAAAGTCTTCGAAAATGGTCGTGACCTTGATAGCGGAGAGACCTTGTCGATTGAACGCCAGTGAGAGGTGCTCAGATCGCGTTGACCCAACAGGAATCCGACATGATAATATGCTAATACCGTGATAAAGAAGTTCCATGGAAGCTGTGAGATGATTAGTCTTAGCCATGCTTCGGCCTTCCCCCAGCTTGTTACAGACATACCCAAGAGGCGAGATTCAACGCCGAGAGCCTGTGCCTTGTCAACGAGGCTATCGAAGCTTGGAAAATCCTCCATGACAACGCAGCCTGTGTTCTTTGCTGCCGGGCGATACAGGTCGATGATACGCCCAAGCAAGACGACAATCTCGAGGAATAGCCGAAAGCAGCTATCCTGCTCTCGGATACACCCCTCCATATCGCGCCCCAAATCCCGTTCGTGTATCATCACCGGCCGTCCATGAAAAGCAGCATTAAGCTGGTCCATTGCCCAAACACAGCAGAAAAGCCGCGTCAGATAGGCCGGGTCCTCCGACCGCGCTGGCGGATTGTGGAGGTGTAGTCCCACCGTCTGCGCATTGCTGACGGCCTGCGCCGCTAGCTCGGCGGATAAGTGGCGGTCTTGCGAGAAGTGGGTGTACAGGGACAGAATCACCATGATGGCGACTGCTTGGACTCGATCCTTGACCAGGCCGAGTCCCAGTGCCGTCCGGATGGCCGAGGCGAGGCGGAGGGCGAATTCAGAGTAGACCAAGACTGGGGACGACGCGTCCTGCCCGAGTGTGAGGTAAGGTTTGGCGCTGGGATTTGAGCCGGCGGCGAGACAAATAGCCTGCTTGCATAACACTTGGGATATCGTGGGGGCTGGCGCCCGGAGTATGTCGAGGTTCATGACGGGTAGAATTCGGTGAACATCCCGAATGTAGATCTTTTCGAGATGTTCATAGTGCTCTTTATTTGGCAACACGGCAAGGAACTGGTGTACCCCGTGGTCCACCGATACTGCCGACGTAAGTTCCGGGGTCGGGCTATCAGATTTATTTCTGCGAGAATACCAGACGCCCACGGCGTTGGACTCGGCGTGACCGCGACTTGCTGCCGGGCTATCGGCCAGGAACGCGCCCTCCGGGTTCAAGTCGCCTACAAATCTGTCGTCGTTGTGATTGTTGGAGTCAGAATCTATTGGTTGGACCTTGGTCTCGGTGCTTGCAATGTGAGTTGCGGAGCCTATAGCTTGAATTGCTGGGCTCTTTACAGATATTAACGGAGATGCTGGGCTTGGAATACCTAGCCTCGTGTTGGCAGTATTAGGCTGAGTCTCTGAGCTCTTGACACGGGACTGTGGTTGCTCAACTGGAGGCGCTGGATTCGGGACCGAAGGCTCCGAGTTTGCAACATGAATTGAGTCAACCGTCCGGTCGTCATAGCCATCATGATCATCGCCGTCGCTGATATCATTGCGCGGACGAGTTGTCACAGCCTGCTCTGTAGTTGGACTGTGTTGCAAAGACGGATCTATCGGCGTTGCGGCCGCATCATCTGGAGAATCGGCCTCAGCGGACGCGGCCAACCCCGGGGGTATGCCTCTTTTCCTCCAGTGAACGGCATGCGGAGGTGGAGACTCCCCGTCCCCCAACGGATGCCAACATCGTTTCTGTAATTCTGTTAATAACTCTTTTCTTCTGCCAGAAAGGGAAGGTATCATGGCAAGACCGCGCTCCGATTGGTCGCCGGTGTGGCATCCCGAACGGCACCCAGCATGGTTCAGGTCTCTCTCGACTTCGACGATAAGGATGGGAGGGCGAGAATGCCAACGCTTGACTCACCTTTCTCCTCCGACAAGTATCACACGCATGCAGTGCAATTTTCCTCTTTGGGACGGGCACGTTCGTGGTGTTGATGAACTTGAGGTTGAGCATGGCGGCGTGAAGAAGAAGGCCCGTCGGGATTGGGTTGGATTCGTGTAGCGGCGCCGATTGGCGACACACCCTGTTGGGGGCGGTGGGGAGACTTTTGCGGCTGCTGGACGTGAGGTGACCGGAGAAGCCCAAAGCGGAAAGGCCGATAACGGACAGGTGAGGACTAGTTCGTCTCCAAGACCACTGACAGAACGAATTGACAACTAACAACTCAGGGTTCTTGAAATTCTTGCACATTGATCAAGTATCTATAAAATCATGCCTGGCAGGATTATAATTATGTCCAGAAGAGCAACATATAGAACTGCTACTTTCTTTTGGTTACGAGCTCGTTGTTCGATGAGATGCTATTTCACACATATATGTTCAAGCTGCCATCTTGCAAACAATGTACTGTGAGCAGCTATCAGAAATGTCTCACAGGATGAGGGTAGAGCGAGTTACAGAATCTGAATTCTATACATTGACTGGATCATCGGCCAGTAATGCTATTCGAATTTATAGTGACAAGCAAGGACAGTTGGCATTATTTTTCTAGTAACACTGAACTCAGATGTCAGCATTCCATTGTCCTCACTTACCACAGATTCAAGATCACTTACGCAACCCTCAACCCCACCGTCGCCACAAGGGGTATCAGGATTTAAGAAGCAGTCTCCTCGCCATGTGTGTCGGTCTCCTCCTTCTACTTCGCTGCAACAAAAGGTGTTGCGTGCCTACATGTAGAATGATAAAGATGAGTAAACGCTCCTTCATTCTACTATATGCGCAGCGGTGCCTGGATTCCATCATACCGTGTACAGAGCCTTGCAGCTCAAATGGACAGCCTGTTTGCCATAGTCGGTGCACCAATACGCATTAGCCGAGCCCAGAAATAGAACGCTGGCAGAGAGGAGGACGGCGGTGAGCTTCATGATGTGCGGCTGGGAATAGGCGTTCAGGAAGTTGCAAGAGTTCCTGGGTTACTGTTATGTATCATGACCGCCATAGAGAAGCACCTGGCGATCGATTACCTATTTATATCAAATGTTATCATCAGACCTCCCTGTGTTGCTCATAGTTCTTGTTAGGTACGATTGCGATCGAGAGGCAATGCCGACCTGCTCCTTGTTTAATCAACAGGCCGTACTGCATTACTCATGGGCGTCAGCAATCCCACCGGCCTTCATTGGCACCCGATTTTTGTATCATATTACTAGGGTTACAACGAGTCATACATTGTTCAAGGAGAACCACATACACCGACCCCTACAAATACATGTATCTCTTGGTGGGGTTGTACTGAGCCCCACAAAGAGGTAGTTCGAGTTGACTTCCGCTCTTCTGTGTTTCTGATATTAGAAATAAATGCTGTTCGGAGGCCCTGAAAGTATCGATCCTTTTTGGGTATTTTCTCATTCTCTCAAACACGCACGTAAGCACATGGATGGAAATGTTGTTAAAGAGGTGGGCGAGCTGACAGGAGCTTATAATAACCTGATCTTGAACAACGACTTACCAGGGGCTGGGGGGTGAGGTCTTTGTAAGCGGCGAGTCCGTATACATTCCACATGAGGCGTTCGAGACAATTTATTTTACTTTCCACGTCACGGACGGCTGGTGGATCGCCTGCCCTTGTGATGTCGTTGTCGCACAGCAGGCCGAAAACTTGCCTATTGTTGGTGCCAAAGGCCTGTCCTTTGTTTTGTTTTTGCATACAAGTAACGGCAAAGGGAGGTAGAATTTCTTGTAGATCAGTATTCCGGGAAATTTCAGCCTCAGAATACACGGCCTTGCCGAAACCATGGGGCAAGGTGACCGGCTTCACCCGAGTCTTATGATGCCGCTGTATTTGATGGCCGCACTGTCCATAACATGGAACTTTTTATACATCGTAAATAGAAAGTCCTGACTGTTGCCCCATGAACAAAATCCTCCAAAAAACTCGTCTAGACTCCGCCAGAGTCGCAAAATCAAATCGGAAACCACTGATTTGCCAACCTCAAACTCTGTCGAGGACTTGCAGGTATTGGAATATAGGACTTGTTATCAGACAAACGAGAACTACAGGTGGGTCGGCTTTATTTACATTAGACCCAATTTGAATAATAGGTGACACAATTTCTTCTCATTCTTATGAACCTTGATTTATGTACGTGTCAGATAAAATTTCCAAGACGTCGTAACTACTGAATTAAGAGTAGGCATTCTGCATGATCATCTTTATCAAGTCTAAATCTTCCCGAGCATCCACGGCCGAAGTTTTCGGGCTCGTCTTCTTTGTGGCGCATGAATAAAAGTCCAAGAACTCCAGCGTAAAAGGATCCTCGTAGGTCTTCCTCACCATTCTCTCCTGGTAACCATCGCCTTGGGCACTCTCGATTCTCTCCCTGATTGTCATGGTAACAGGGAGTCCCTTGACGTACGGTGTATCGTAGTCGATGCGCACAATCTTTTCTCGCGAGTAAACCTCGAGGTGAGCGTCGAACCTGGGCACGTCGATGATGCCCGACTCGTACATGACAGGAAAGCCTTCGTACTGGAAAAGCACATTCCAAATTGGCAAACCGAGAGAGGCGCCCACGACACGTGAGGGCAGGCCTATCATCTCGCGCAGAGCTGAGAAATCATGAACACCAAGTCTGTGAAGGGAGTGTGAGAGAGGTCAGCGAAATGATATGTCTATGGTTTTCATGGACCAGGTTGGATTGGCCTCGCGACTTACCCTGTGAACAACCTGAATATTGTCATTGACTCAGGCGTTGCTTCAACTCCAAATTCGCCAACTAGAGCTGTTTTGACCATCTCTTCCTCGATTGACCGCATCTCTGCGGTAGCTTGTTTTGGATAGTCGGTGTATTTCTCGGGGAATGTGCCAGACTGGTCTACGAAAGACCTGTTTTGCCCAATGATATCTATCTTGTATTAGCCTAATTCTCTTGGTCGAGTCCTCACGCGGTCAAATAGTGGCATACCCCTGACCCGGATGTAGTCAATTTTCTTGATCCCTTGCACCTCCTTTACAGCGTCGAGGAAAGATGCGGCATATCGCCTCTGGTATCCCACAAAGACTCTCCCCTCTGAGGTTTGCTCCGCGGCGATGATGGCATCGAGATCGCGGTAGTTCAATGCGAGCGGCTTCTCCACAAACACGTACTTGTTGTGCTGAAGAGCCAGGATCGCTTGTGCGGGATGGAATGCGTTGACGTTGCAGATGACGACGACGTCCGTTTCAGGAGCGGCAATCAGCTCTTCGGGACTCAACGTCGTCTTGGGTAAACCGCCAGCAACCTTCTTGGCGCAGAGGTCAATGGCTTGCTGGGAGACATCACAGATATAGGTGATCTCGAAGTGGTTGGACAGACTATTCAGCACAAGAATGTGGGATACCTGCGAAGGAGAATCGTCAGTATTCTCTGTGAGGAGGCGACATGAGTTGGGTACAAGTCGAGACAAACCTGAGCGAGCTCTCCCAAACCGATGATTCCCACTCTGAGGACCTTGCGAGGTTTGCTACCATTTGCTACTTCGCTCATCTTGAGAAATATTGAAAGTGCTAGGCCGAAGATTTTGGTGTACCTAGGCGTTCCGATTAAAGCTGCATTCCTTCACAGAGGCAAATTATGCATCCTCTAGCATCATATAAGCAGCTCAGTGCAGCTCAGTCAACCATAAGCGCATTTTGGACATCACAGAAGCAAAGATCAGGTTCGACTTTCCAATGCCCGTGGGGGG